AGAAAAAGAAGTCTCCATTTCTATCATTTGATTCCCATATGGATTCTCTTATAATAACAAGCTTTATATTATTAAGGACTTGTGTTCTAATTGTTGCTCAAAGAAATTTACATAAATTTGTCCATGTAAAGTCCAAAACAACCCAGCAGGTAGGTATTATTATTATTTATTTATTTATTTATTTATTTATTTTTGTGGTACTGGGGATTGAACTCAGGACCTTTCACTTGCCAGGCAGGTGCTCATTCTACTGAGCTTATCTCTCCAGCCCTTATTATTTCATATTTAGTGACATCAGAGAGATTTAAGAGTTGTCAAAGTTAAGCAGCTTATAAGGGAAAGAGAACAGAGACTGCATCCTAGCAATAGACAGTCAAATACAGCTATACTTCACCATGAGATTTCCCAGGAAGATCGAGAAAGGAGACTTAATTGAGGAATAGATTAGAGTCTCCACAAAAAAAAGAAGTGCTGGATTTGTAAAAGCCCTCCAGAAAAAAAAGAAACTCTCTACTCCTGAAGCTGCTATACTGTGAATATTCTTCCTGTCTCATGCCTGAACTTTCTTGGTACTCACCATTGACTTTTGCTCTATAATTGTACAGAGATATTTTGCTACATACTTCTTTATCTAGAGAGAAGCACATATTATTTTTCCATTTGCACCCATTTTCTCCAATTATTTTATGTTCCCTCTTATTGTAATGGATGCACCTCTGTTCGCTGCTTTAGGTCTGTTTTAATAGTCTCCATATTAAGTTCATAAAATTACTTAGACCATCAAAAATGGTGTTCCTTTTCCTTATCTCCTGGAAATGCTAGTTTAGCTGAAATTTAAGTGGGAGTGTTAGTAATAGGGAAAAATGAACAAACTAAAATGAAAATTCAGAAAGTAATGTAGCTTAGCGGTTAAGAGCACAGCCCTAGAGTTCAACTATCTGGTCTAAGTCTAGCAGCACTGTTTATTAACTGTGTGACCTTGAGTAATTTTTTCTTAAGCTCTCTGTAATTTCATTCTCTTATATGGAAAATGAAGATAATAATGATGTTTGTTCTAGGGGTTACTGGGAGGGTTAAAAGATCTAATGCACACATAGGTCTTTTGACAGTGCTTTGTTTAGAATAAATCTTATGTACTATTGCTCTTGCAGTTGTGGCTACTTCTGCTGTTTTTATTGTTTATGTAACAAAGATCTTTCCTCATTCATTAGTTACTGTTTCTCTTAAAGAATACAATTTTTAGAAAAATCAGAGTAACCACAGTAACTAAGGCTTAAAAATAAAATAAAGCTATATCTAAGAAGTCTAAGAAAATGACCCTCTGTCCAGATTTTCTACCATCTGAGAATGCCACTTGATTCTCCATACCAATATCCTGCTTTTCTATGATCTTAGGTGTAAAGTTTAATCTTCATGATATTTTTATGCAAAACTGTATTCTTTCCTTATTTACCATGTCCCTGGCTCCTCCCCACCAAGGTTCATGCTTCCTGTTTCTGCTAAAAAACTCTCCACCCCCACAGGATGCCAGATATTGAAAGAGCCTTGAATTCCTTGCTGGTATTTTACTCCTTTAGGGGGCCAACATACCTGAGTCCTACAACTCCACAACTTCTCCACCAGCCTGCCAAACAAGGAATGTGATGCTTTTGCTCATACAGATGCATCAGGTTCCATGACTTGGTGTGGCTCTTTGTTTCCTTGGCTCTTGTAGACAAAGGGATGAATCATGGATGGGAGCATTTCTGTTCCGGCAACAGAGATATTTTGTCATATGGAGACCTTTTCAGTGTAAACATGCTTCTGTTTCCAGGTGGTCCTGGATGCCTGCTTGCAAAAATGAAAAGTGAAAAGGGTAGTCAGGATTTCATTTTTCAGTCAGAACAAATCAATCCATGTGGGTAAATAGTTTATCAAAAATCAGTCATGATTCCTTTCTATGTGCTTCTCCCTTAAGAGTTGTTTGTTCTCTCTTAGTATCATTGTTCTGTCTTCCGTCATTGTTCAGCTTCAGGAAATGTCTTTTACATCCCATGCTCTACCGCAAATCTGTTGGTAGAGACAGCCTGAGATTTTCTAGTCAGGAGAGCAGGACCCATTTCCCAATTCTAACGTTGACTAGCAAGGCAGTAAAAGATCTCTGAACCTCTCATATACAAAACACAGAAAATGTGACATACTTCACAGAACCATGGGAAGGACAAAGTAGGTGGCACATATTCAGCATTCTCTAAAGCCCTTTACTCTACATCTGGCATTTGTTTCTGTAAACCAGTATCACAACATAGAAAACTGACACTGGCATAATTATTACCTTCCTGCCAATGGTAACTTCTTTTCCTAACACCCTTCTTCAGCCATGCTTAAAAGGAGAAGCTTTTACTCCAGTATATAAGAGGTGTGGCAGGAAATTCTCATTACTATTTAGTTGATAATATAAATGAATTAAACAAAAGGCACACCCTGATTTTAAGGAAAAGACTGAACCACCACTTGACTTCCTCTTATATTGTGCATATTTCCCATGATGTTAAAACTAGACAAATAATCAGTCTTAAGTATTTATTTATCAATTCTATATTTATGTATTTGTTGATGGTATAAGGAAGATGTTTATATGCAGTGTGATATACACAGACATGATAAAGATGAAAATTAGCAAATTCATGAGTTCACATCTTGTTTATGCTTGGGAAAAACTTACAAAAAAGTGTTGATGACTTCATGTTATACATAATCTTAAAGAACAAATGATGAGGACCAGGTCTCTGCTATTAGTGTGGGTTATAGAAATTCAAATGTTCTATCATTTATATGCCTACCATGTACAATTTGATCCTATTAGTCAAATTGCTTTAGTCCCCTGGGGCTGGGGTGCAACTCATTGATAGCACATTTACCCTAGCTTTCATGATGCCCTGAATTCAATCTGCAGACCTTAAAAGAAAACAAAAAGAAAAACTTGTTTTTCTTTGAACAATTAAAATTTTTGGCTTTAATCCCCAAATTGTTCACTGTGAGGAGAAATTTTAGGTAGTGTACAAATCAAATACATGAAAAGTAAATAAAAGACAAGTGAAACAATTATGTGGAATTTCAGGCTGGTTTTTTTTTGTTTTGTCCTGAACTGTTTAGAAAAATTAACTCACTTTCCTCTTTTGCTAAAAAAAAAATGCAAATTTGTCAAGTCATGTTATTCCCTGTAGGGGGAAAATATATATATATATATATATATGATGTGTCTTTGACCAATCTTCCTTCTGCAAGATACTGAGTACTAGTTTGCAGCATATACTAGTGTCAAAATCTGGCTATAACCTTCCAGGACAAGCCTGGTTTGGGTGAGATAAAGATAGATGTTCTTAGTCTGTTTTAGTGTTTCCCTCTTCAGTTTCTGATATGGTCCTATCCATTTCTCTTCCAGTTTTCTAGTCAAGGAAAGTGAGACATGACTCTCTTTCAGAGTCTCTAGCATGAGTACTTGGACTTTCAAAAAGGGTGGCAGGAGACAATCACTGTCCACCTCCCTTACTTGCGCAAGATTCAGACTTCCGCATCATGAGCCACTGTGACTGGAAATTCGAGTCACCTCTTCAGTATATCTAACATGTTATTGCTGCCGTTTCCCCCTTTACTTTAGTAGAGTAATTTAATTCAATTTTAGAAGGAGTGAGCAACGGAGGGGAAAAAAGGAAAACTTTTCTAGTTACATAGATGAATCTAATTGTTCAGGGCTTCAGAATGAATTTTTAAACTTGTTGAACAGAAGCATACAAATCTCTCCAAGCAAGTCCGATAATGTACAAAGCCTCCATTCATTGTGTAGGCAGAAAGGAATGCTGGTACCCGGCAGCTCTCTAAGGAATGTTCCTTTGGCTTTGACTGTTCTGCTGGAAACAAGGAGGGAAACACATATATAAAATGAATTTATAATGTCTCTGGCTTGTAATGGCAAAATGATAAGAAAAGTTGGCTGTTTAATATAAACTGTCAGTTGCATATTCCAGGCCTCCTTCCTTTGAGGTCCCGCCCACGTCCACACGCCTGGCTACCGTTTAGCGAGGAGTACAAAGTGGCCGTTTATTATTATTGACTGGTAAAGCCTGTGCTCCGAAACTCATTCTGTCAACAGAATGTAAGCAAAGTTGGCATTTTAAAGCAGGGTGCTTTCAGTTTCTGGGCTTTCTCAGGATTGCTATGCAACAGGATCAATGCTGTAGTCCCCGGTTCAAGCTGAAAATGTTACACAGGAAGACATACCATGTAAAGGTCAGATTCTTCTACTATGATAATTTTTACGATCTGTGTCTATCCAAATGAAGCTGAATGCATAGCTCTTATCATAATTCTAACCAGCATCCTCCGGACTTTCCACCTGTCAAGCCTAAAATTATGATGGCTTTTAAGTAGGAAATCTTACTAATATATGTGTGATGTTGTAATGTATGGATGATTCTGTAGCATCAAGGTCAACTAGTGTGTGTTGTCAGGAAGATTCCCTTCTACGAGAGGAGAGAATGTGCTGGTGCTTTCGACCAAGGACAACCTTGTCTATTCATCTCTCTGAGCTTTTATGGTCGGAGTCAATACTATATAGATTGTTATATATGTGAAAAATAAGACTTGACTCCTATTGTAATGAGATAATTGGCAGAAGGCATATAATTTAATTTCATATCAATTTCATAGAACAATGTATTTTATCCATACATTTACAATAATTATGAAATTTGTAAAGTTATAAATATATTCCTTTGTTACTAATAATGGCAAGGAACAAATTTACTATACTTAATAAGCTGTTCACTTTTGATCTACATAGTAACATGAAGAGAATAAATTTCACCAACAGAAGCGATTTAGGGTTTATCTTCTTGTTAGTTGGCCTATTTAAAATGTCTTTTGAATCATTATTTTTTGTAGTTCTCCAAATTTACATTGACAGCTGGTTTCTTTGGTTCAGTAATTCTGTGTGTGTTCTTCCTCTTGCTGTCCTGTAGGACCTCCAAGGAGAAATTGAAGCCCATACAGATATCTATCACAACCTGGATGAAAATGGCCAAAAAATCATAAGATCCCTGGAAGGTTCTGATGAAGCGGCCCTATTACAGAGACGTTTGGATAACATGAACTTCAAGTGGAGTGAACTCCGGAAAAAGTCTCTCAATATTAGGTAGGAAAAGATTGGAGCAAAAAAAGCAAGAAATGAATTAAAATGATAAAATTTTCCTCATTTTCCTAGCACAAGCAGCTAATATCTCATATATTTATATAAATCACCCAATTTCAGAATGCTTCATTTTATTTTGAATAAATGAATCATTCATTTGCCTGGTATGGAGATGATACTTGAGGGTTCAGCTTCGATTAAAGTGGTGATGTTTTATAACCACAGGAGAGATGCATATTAAGACATTAGAGTGAATTCAAATGAGGAGCACAGCTCTCCTAATTTCATAGTTCTCTCTTGGTTTATCACAGGTTGTACAAAAGTGATCAAATTAACGGATGCTTATTATGGAATTATTTCTTTGGCATTACTCTAAATGCATATGAAAGGGCATTCTTTAAAAGCCAAAACATATTACCATTAACAGATTACAGAGGCCTTCTCCATAGCTCCAGCTGCTAAGTGGAGGGTAAAGCAAATTTTTCTTTCAATTCCTCTAAGATTGTGTGAACATCCTTTATAAGTAGACTCAGCTTTTAGCTGTCTTACACTCACATACTTTCTCCTTTGTCCCATTCTGTGCTTTAACTTCCTTTTGAGATGTTAATGAATGCATCTCCATAATCTTGCAACTCCAATTTTGCTGAGATAATTTCATGAAGGGACCAGAGAGGAGAGCTGGTCTGTGCAACACACACTGTTATCCAAAGGCTCTCAAAGTGCAGGAAGGGGAAGCCAGCCTTCCTGCTTCTAACGGACTGCTTTTTCTAAAAACATTTTGTACTTTCATCAGTGTGGATACAAAGAGTGGTTGTGGGAAGAGGTAGAAAGTGACCTATGAACTCCGTGATAGCTACGAGGGAATGCACTAAGTACTGAGAGCAGTCACTACCTCTAGGGAGCAAAGGGTACAGAAAGGAGATACTTTGACTTTGTTATGGTTCTCCCAAATTGTCCATAATTGCAGCAAATAACATACCTACTCATATAAGGAGAAGAAAACTGAGATTTTTATTAATTTAAAGGCATGCTTCTAAAAATTGAACATGAAATAATAATTACAGGAACAAACACTGATATGGCATTTGTACACACAACATAATGCCATAAGCACTTTATATTTTTTGACCCATTTCATAGGCTTAGCAAACTTATGAGTTAAATTCCATTATTATATTCCTTTTATATTTGAAGAAAATATGGCATAGCGACACTGAGTAACTTTTCTCAGGTCACTTAGTTAGCAAGGGGCAGATCCAAGATATAAACACGGGGAATCTGACTCCAGTATCTGAGCTTTTAATCATCACTTTCTTCCACAGAGTGTAAAAAAAGAAGGAAACTTTTCCAAATAAATATGTAAAAATAGCAAAGATAAGACAGAGAAGCAGATTTCTAGGAGAAGAAAATGATTTCTTTTTATTTGATGAGGCTTTTCCCCCTCCTTGAGTTCACACCCCTGCTTCCTAGATGCTCGTTTTTATCCTTCTGTTTTGTCCATGAAACTTCTTTATCAGGATACTGGTGAGGAGTTGGGGGCTACAGTAGCTGGTGGCATTTTCTACGATAGGGAGCCTCCATTAGCTCTCTACAGCTTAAACTCTTAACAGAGGTCACAGTGTGTAAGACAAAGGCCGTTTTCATAACATCTGTCATTAAAAGGAATGAAACGTGTGAGATGGAAAAGATATTGGTAGGTAAAGAAAAGAAAGTTATTCTTTTTTTGCAGGAGAGAAAAAGAAAGGTGCTATAACTGTTCGAACATCACTCAGTGCCTTTTCTCTCCTTCATGTGAACTTGATGAAATAAAAGGAGAATTGAAAGCTGCAAACAGCATGTCAGCCAAAATATGGGCTCTTCGTTCTCAGCAATTTCCCATATGCCAGCTACTGCAGTTTAATTCTTGCTGTCATTAATCAAGTAGTAAACAATTACCTTAGCTTATCTAAGGTGCTGCAAATTCGAGAAGGTAAATATTCAGATCAATGGTTTTGTCTTTTAAATAGGCCACTCTAATAATACATGATGTGTTATAAGCACTCACTTATGAAAACTAAAAGAAGCAATTCTTCACATCAAAGCAATTTAGTGACACTTGATTCAAATAAGAGTATCACTCAATCCATAGTGAATGGCAGGGTTCCACTGAGACAAGCACAGTCGAGGTAGTAATTTGGGATGATTATGAAACAGGATAGATGAACACCGGGAGGAGTTAGATACAAAATCATTAGTGGCACTAATAAGCCTGCATTGTGTAGCTCATCAGTAACTCTGATGGGGTTATTTTATTGTGAGAAGTTACAACAATTAAAAGAAAGTTCCATAGATACCCTGGAAAAACAACCCTGTTTGTCTAAATGGGAACATATAATATTAAAGAATTATAGTCATTTCACTGCTGTATGATGTGAAACCATTTATAGATTTCAAAATAAAAACCATTAATTTTATAATAATTTCCTAGCAAGACAAGGTTTCTATCACTCTTGTTCAACACATTCAGTTTTGTTATACCAATATCTCACTCAGTCAATAAATTATTGATTTATTAAACAAATACTTAAGCCAGGCATGGAGGAACACTGTAATCCCAACTACTTGGAAGGCTGAGGCAGGAGGATCACAAATTCAAGCCTTACTTAGGAAACAAGACCTTGTCTCAAAAATAAGTTAAACAGGCCGAGCATGTAGCTGAGGGGCGGAGCACTTGCCTTGCATGCATGAGGCCTTTGGTTTACTTCGCAATACCCCAAAATGAAATGAGTGCCTACTATGTAACAGGCACTCTTCCAGCAGCTGAAGGTACGAGAGTGAATAGGGTAGACCTCAGATACGAGAGTGAACAAAGCAGACCCCACAACACTGCTCCTGTCAAGCTATGCTTTCTTACTACAATCTGTTGGACTCTACTTTCTATCAACTTTGCCTGATAAGCCCTCCTAACACCTTTCTCTCTCTGTTCTTCCTCTGCCAAACTTTCTCTCTCACCAAGCAGCTTCCTACCTTTTCCTCAGCATGGATTTTCTCTGTCACGTGCATTCTGCCTCTTAACTCCATCCCTGCTTCCCAGGATTTCCTGACTCTTCCATGTGAATGTGTGTAGATGCTGGTTCTCACGCTCTTGACACCATCTCTCCTCTCAGCCTCTCCATTGTGATGCGCATTCCTTAATGAAAATTTCCTTCTGCATTCCTTTATCAGGACTTCCCAGGGCTATTCTCATTTATACTTATGGGGCTGGGTATGTAGCTCAGTGGTAGAGCACTTTCATAGAATGCAGGAAGCCCTGAATTCTAAGTTCTAACCACAGCCTTCCTCCCCACATCAGATATATTCCTTCATGAATTGCTTTCAGAGAGCTATTTTGGTGCCTCCAGCTAAATGATATGGAGATTGTTGTGCACACCTGCAATCCCAGCACTATGAGAATACCAGGAAGGAGGATAGCAAGTTCAAGTCCAACCTGGGTAATTTAATGACTTAGAGAGGCTGTCTCAAAATAAAAAATAAAAAAATGGGAGCTTCTGGCTTATAAAGTAGCTCAGTGGAAAAGCTGATTCTCCAGAACCAGTATATCTATTTCGATGAATTAAAATTCCACACAATAAACAAATCAGTAAAGTAGAATAAAAAGAGTCCCAGACCACCAGTTGAGCAACTTTGTCTCTCTTCCAGCTCTGTTACTACCTAGCATGCAATCTTTCATATACATATGTAACTCTCTTGCTTTTTTTTTTTTTTTTTTTTTTTGGTACTGGGAATCAAACTCACAACCTTGTGCTTGCCAGGCAGGTGCTGTACTATTGAGCTATATCCACAACCCCTAGCAGGTAATCTTGAGCAAGTCACTGAACTGCTCCAAGATGTCAATACTTTTCACCACTGAAATAAGAAACTTCATTAAAAATGCACATGGGCACTTCCAAGTTCCCTTGCCTTTGTGCAGTTTCATTAATCCTCCAATCATACTGTATGAACCAGGCCAAATTATTGATTTTTTTCTACCTTGATTTTCTTTTTTTAAATGATTTTCTTTTATTTTGAAGAATAAAAACAAGAGCAAGAAAAACAAAAGCAAAGACAGCAACAGGGCAGCATATAACAATACATACGTTACAGATTTTCAGAACAAGAATATCTGATTAACAGTGATTGATATCTATTTTTATCACCAAATCTGTTGCTCAGATTAACAGATATAGTTATGCAAGATGGGATATATGATTGAATATTACCACATGCTTTCAAGAATACTTAAATGGAGAAGATTAATTTAAAAGATAGGGCATAAGAGAAAGTAAGTAATATGTTTTCGAGAAACAATAATACCTTAATTGAAGTTGTAGGGGCCTGGGAGATAGCTTAGTAGAATTAGCACTTGCCTAGCAAGTATAAAGTCATGAGTTCAATTCCCAGTACTGCGAAAGAAAGAAAGAAAGAAGGAAAGAAAGAAGGAAGGAAGGAAGGAAGGAAGGAAGGAAGGAAGGAAGGAAGGAAGGAAAGAAAGAAAGAAAGAAAGAAAGAAAGAAAGAAAGAAAGAAAGAAAGAAAGAAAGAAAGAATAATTAATTGTATAGTGCTGTCTCAGAATTTAGTCCAAGAAAAATATCACTCTACCCTATTCACATTATCAAATCACATTGTATCCATTAGTTAGATGGGAAAGTAGTCAGTGATGGTTAATTATCAAACAAAACAAAAGTTTAACTGTTTTTAGTGGGAAAAAATAAAGTGAAAAACTTTTACTTCTAGATATACAACAGTTATTAATGACACCAACAAAAATCAGGATGGAGATTAGTCAAAGTATTTCTCAGCTTGGAGAGGTAACACATGCCTGTAACCTCAGCGGAAATGGGAAGATCAACATGAGTTCAAGGTCAGCCTGGCTTACATAAGTGAGTTCAAGGCAAGCCTGCACTATATAGTGAGACCCTGTCTCAAAAAAGAAAGAAAAAAGTATTTCTTATTGTAAAATATTCCATATTCAAGATCTTATAT